ACTCTCCAACGGCACGACCCTCGGGCTAAGTGGCCCGTCCCAAGCCCGCGGCCTGGCGGCACTCTTAACTTTTGAGCTCACGAATTACTCGTCTCCGCATTCTTTCAAAATCGGCGTCTGAGAATGTGCCAATTTACTGTACTGTAGCTATGGCATCCAATAGCTGACTATTCCCCCCCCCCCCCGCACCCTTCCACTTCCCTCCTTCTGAGGTACTACGAAGCACATTGCGTTCTGATTAATCAGGGCGTCGATATTTGCTGTGCCAGAAAGAAAAAACTTAACTTTGTAAAACTTTATTCTACTGGCATTACTCTTACAACCGTTCTCCCAGCGAGGTTGCCATCTTTGTACTCGATGATCAGCTTGTCTTCTTGACCTTTTCCTGGCTAGAGGAAAGATCACTAAGTACATATCATCGGAATCGAAAATCATTGATTATTACGCAACAAATAAGTAAGGCACACGTATTTACCCTTCTGTTGAAATCGATCAGAAGTTGCCCCTGTTCTGGAATCTCGCCTTCGGTCTGGCTAGAGTTTATGGAAAAGCATGAATTCGGATTTTCAAATGTGAGCTGTAATTAGGCCATCATTATTCACGGGGAGATATGGGCCGTATGCTATGCTTTCGGGGTAAGGGGACGCGTCCCCTAAGTCGTATGCTATCCTTCCCCGAAGCTCATTCGGGGAAAGGCCACGCCCTACCGAGCTTCGGGGACGCGTCCCCCTACCATTATCGTTGGGGGAAGCATCCCGAAGCAGGGTCAACCGTCCTGTTCGAACTGTTCGAACGAAGGGGTCGCATTTTGGTCGGAAGGGGGTCGCAATTTCGAGGACTGCCAGCCACAGGCGCGTGCGTGGCGTATCCGAGGGCAAGAATTGTTTGTGCAGACCGCATTAGATTCGATTAATTATGCACAGAGAGACAGTTTTAGGCAAATTACGGTGTTTTCCTTGAGGAATAAAGAACAGTTGAATGCATCCCTATGAAAGGTTTGACTTCTCGGGGCTGAAATTAAAGTTCTTCGGGACCTATTTTCTGAGGACGGTTCTTCCACAATCGTGAAACACATAAGAAAGAAGAAACCTCGTAGTCTTCAAAAATGTCTTCGCCTCTTTCCAACATGCTCTTTGAAGGAAGTTATTATTGCTGAAAGCTCAAAAACTCGCATGTGCTGCTCAAAAACCTATGGGATCCAAATGTTCGAACGTGGGATTTTCTCGAAAAATGAACTTTGAAAAATGGTTTAGGGCTTGTTAGAAAGAGCAAATTCTGCTCTTTCACCCCATGGAAAGAGGGAAACACAGCAATCAAAATGAAGCGAGTTATGCTCGTTGAAAGCCCAAAAACTCGCGATTTCAAAGAATGTGTTCGGCAAAACCGCCCGAAATGTTCGAACGTGGGATTTTCTCGAAAAATGAACTTTGAAAAATGGTTTAGGGCTTATTAGAAAGAGCAAAACCTGCTCTTTCACCCCATGGAAAGAGGGAAACACAGCAATCAAAATGAAGTGAGTTATAGTCGCTGAAAGCTTAAAAACTCGGTTTTGCACGGGAACTGTTCGAACGGGGCAAATTTTTGAAAAAGGGGACAATCACTTAACTTTTTATAATCTTTTGTTAGAGAAATATTTGAAGTTTCTAAAACTTTTCACAAATTTCCAAGATGTCGCATACGAAAGATTTTATGAGCTCTCAAAGTTGGAGGTGCGCCTTCTCAGAATTTTGGGTTTTCCGCTTCTGACAGAAATACTTTTGGGAGAGTTAGGTCATCCTTGCAATTTTCTGTAAAGCCACCTCAGGCACAGTTTAAACCTACCTCAATAAGTGAAACAAATACGTCTCAAGAAAGTTACACTCTCCTAAAACTTTTTCTTCGCCGCGTCCCAGTTTTCCAGCGTCCGGGTGATACCTGCCGCGCTCCAAGGTTGACGCCGCAACGCAAACGCTTTCTGCGGCGGTTTCTGACGCAATCATGTCAGTCCTACTCTTCTTTAACACGTTGACTCGCTGGTGGGTACACATGTGTCCGCACCTTTCGTATGTCAAATTTAACAGCTATTCACATGTCCAGGGAATATTGGGGCAGGAGCTACGCTCAGTGTCTTGACGTGTTCTTGAATTGTCCACTTATATAGGATGCTTTCTAATTCTTGTGCTAAGATCAGTTTCTTATCGTTAGAAAGGTAATCGAGTCATTCCCGTGAGTTATCTTTGACTATGGTGTACACATGTGTCATGTGTAAACATGTGTATCCTAACTTCCGTAGTCAACGTCACTACACAAGTTTTGGTAGGCTATTGAGAACGCGGCCATTTATGCAACGTGGAAAACTTGGTGGATTCTTACTCTGTCAGTGAAGTATAAGAAGTCTAAGCGAGTTACGCTGGATAAGTTGATAAGCAAGTCGTTCCACAGGTCACTGGGCAGTGTGCACAGCTCCCGAAAAGGTAGTTTTCGAGTCTCACACTCTTTGTATTGTGTTGATGGTTCTAATATTTCCCTCAATTATTGTGAAACAGGTGAAACATAAGCAAACCGATGACGGATGGAGGTTTTTATCGGCCGCAAGCCAGTTAGAGGACGACAGCGTTTTACGACTGCGTTGGAAATTCCAACCTCCGGAGTTTTGTCAGTTCGTTTGATGCGGAAGTGGTAGTAGAACACTCCTATGATGACGCAGCTTTCGAGCATAAAAACCAGCGAAAATTCGTTAGAGGAGAAGCAGCCGGTGGGCGCAGCCTGTAGGCAGAGCAGCACTTTCTACAAAGTGCGGCTTGCAATTCTTTTCAAGTGCGTTCCCATCCGGACATTGCCTTGTTCCACGAATGAGATGTGATAAATGTGTATTTATTGAATGCTCCTTGAACTGTTCAAAAATGCTCATTCGAGCGGAGATGGTGTGGTGACAGGAGGGGCCACTGCCGCGCACATGGTCTCTGGATCGAATCCCAGCTCAAACCCAGCGCGCATCAGCCAAATTTCTACAGATGATTAGTTGTTGCTAGGAGCGACTGTTACTACATAAAACACATTCAATAACTTGTTTATAAAAAGTCGTAGTCTTCTTTAATCCTTCCTCTTTTTTCAGCTGTTTGAGCAGAAGTTCGTCAGTCTTCATGTTACTTGTTGGATATCCCTCCATTTGGTCTTACACATTTCGCTTTCATCCTCATTTTGGCGTGATTGTGAGCGAACAAAAATTTTGATCTCGCGAGGCTAACCATAAAAAATAGCTTTCATTAGCCAGTGCCCTGTGATTCTTGCTCCTTTGGGGCTCATCTTAGGAGATGCATTGATGGAGAACGTAACTCTCTTTGATTTACTCCCTTGAACTGCTCTTGTGATTCTTTCGGAAGCATGAAGTTTGAAGTTTTGGGCAACATGAAAAAAATATTGAATTTTTTTCAGAAATTCAATGATTTTTTGAAAACAATTCAATTCAAATTTCAGTGAAGATCTCAATATTCAAATGTTCTGTTCATATTTCATGGAAGTTCATTGTCCATTTGAAAACAATGAACTTACGAACTTACGAACACAACATTTGAATATTGAATTCTTTACTGAACATTTGAATTGAATTTTTTTTCAAAAAATCAATGATTTTTTGAAAAGAATTCAATTCAAATGCCAGTGAAGAATTCAATATTCAAATGTTTTGTTCTATGTCATGGAAGTTCATTGTCTTTAAAAGGTTTTAGTTCACTGTCTTTGAAGTAAAATGAGTGAAATAAATATTTCACTTAACATTTAGTCAGCACATTCGGCACTTCCATTACCTAAGAGGGGGTCGCAACTGGACCCCCTTGAGATAAGGGGGTGACCCCCTTGAGAAAAGGGGGTCGCAAAAACCCTGAAAATGTTCGAACGTGACGGTTGACCCTGCCGAAGGCTAGAGTAGTCGCCACGGCGCGCACTATTCTTGCTGGGGCACATTATTTCCTCATGGGGAGCTACATATTATCCCAAAGATGCGCTTATTTTAAGCGTGGAGGGGGTTATGCTTCAAAACGTCGGCGACGTCGTTGTTGTCTGCACAAGACGCAATGGATCATGAGTACGTTTCTGCGATTTGCGGCTGCCAACACTGGTTTACCGCCACGAATAAAGGGAAAATTATTGTAAAAAGCAGGAATCATGTTCCATTCCACACAAAATCCAATCCTGTACAGGAAAAATAGTGCATGCATCTTGTGCAATACACAAATTTGCTACACGCATCATGTTTACGAAGGATAAAAGTTGCGTTTTGCTTTTTCCACTGATTTAGCATGTACGGCACTGTTAGAATATCTGCTGTCATGTAGATAGTATATGATAGGATATTGTCTATCAACCTCGCATCATACATAATTGAGTATTACAGTTATCATGCTTCTCTCCCATCCGAGAGGGGGTCGACTCTCATCTCGACATCCGAGATCGATTAATAGGGCGCAGTTTCTTCAGACCTCGGTCAGACTCGGCGATTGCGTCGCTGTACACCAGCGACGGAGTCGCCGACCGACGGAGTCGCTGGTGTAGCAGGCAGCGCAATCGCCGACAGTCTGGACCGAGGTCTCACGTTTCGTGCCGGCATGGAGTACTTGAAAATAACCAAAGTAGTTGAAATTCAGGCTACTTTCCCCAATTCAAAAGCACGGTCCCTTTTTATTTCATTGTGTCAAGTGAGATTCTCTCATCGATCCTGTTGCACCAGTTAGGTTTGCTTATATCGTCGTTTTTTTTCTATTTTCCCCGGTCCTTGTGTTGTATTTGTGGTTGTGATTATTTCCTTTTCTTTTTTCACATGCGGACTGCATGTAATAAAGTGAGTAAGTAAGTAATAAAACTAAGCGCAGCTCACATGTATTCACTTGTCAAACGGAATTGCATGCGTGGCTTTAAGATCATTCGAATTTCGCGCCCAATAAGCTCTGCGTCTTTTCTCCCCGAATGAATTTCGGGAGCATAGCATACGCCCTGCTTCGGGGACGTCTGCTTCGGGGATTTTCCCCGAAGCAGAACTCTTCCCCTTCCCCGAAAGCATAGCATACGGCCCTTAATGCGCTATCGCAAGATAGTGGGACACTGGCGGCAGTGGATTCAAAACTAGGCAAAACACCTATCGTTTGGGCGCTCATGTCCTGGGGGGGGGGACAATGAAGTGAGTAGGCCACTAGTACAACCCGGGGCTAAGCCTTGGAGAGGGGAAAGGATTCCGGGAAAGGATGTGAGGAATCATTGACTCTACATGCGGCTTAATTCGATTTTCCAGAGGTTTTCGATTTAACTGATTGGATGTCACCCTTGAGGAATGGAGCGCACCCTACTGTTTGAAACATGTGAAACCTTGGTCGCAGAGCCTCTTAGTGGAGCGATTCTCCCTTTCTCGGGATTCCTGCTCCCTTCTAAGCTTATTGTTAGCCCCAAGAAGATGTCCCTGTCTAGCGATAGGACCTTGGAAACTAATGAGTCTTGTCTGCGACACGTGCTTAGCACTAGCGTGAGGCTTACTATGTTTAACTTTTTGTGGCTCAGGTTGGACATCCACTGTCGTGAAGCTCCTTGTTTGATTAGTAGTGGCAGCTTCGGATTAGATCCGAAGCACATCAAGTTGTCGGCCGACATTGTTAGTAAAAATGGGTTGAACAATGCTCGAGCACCCATTTATACTCGGGAGCGTTTTTCGTGTTGATACAATTAGTAAAGGAAATTTTCACCTTGACATTTTAGAGAGCTCATTCCACAGCACCTTCAGAATGTGGTAGCTAACGGCACTCGTATTTACCACTACGAGAGATCTGACATAGAATGGGGAAATTCGGTCTGAAACGCTGTAATCTCCATTTTCTTTGCCAGTTTGTTCGTCTCTATTTCGCTTGTCCCTATTCTCACTCGTCCACTCGTTCTCCGAGTATCTCGTCCGGAGACGCAGTTCTCTGTGCTCGTGAAGAGATTTGAGGAAGCCTTTTCGGAAAAATCTTGCATTCTTTCCCAACACGCATATGTCAGTTGTGATCACTAGAGACAACATACAAAGTTTCACGCACAAAGATTCAGTTTCCGAAGAGAAACAAACTTACAAAAACTACACTCTATGGACAATCGAAGGTAAAAGGCGGAGCCAAAGGCGAGGCATGGAAAGAAGTTCGCCTTGGGGGCTACGTATCAGGCGACGCAATGAAAGAATCGGGTTAAAGCGTGCGATTTCGGAGAGTAGAGACAAATCGATTGATAGATAGGATGAGTAGAAGTGTGAGATGTAATGCAATAAGTCAAGAAGGCCAGAAAGAGTTTCTAGTGAAAGCACTCCGCGAAGCCAAGTGAAAGTCCTTCCCGTCACATCATGCTGTGACAGATGTCCAGCGCTTCTTGAACGTGTAGTAGCCCTTTTTTCACCAAAACCACATGCTTTTTTGTTCTTTTTGCTCCTATGGGAACCATGGGTCCCAAGCCAGTTAATTATAGGTAGGATAGAATCACGATTTTTCCGAGAAGGATTCCTTTACGGTCAAATATTTAAATAGGGGGTATTTCCTTGGCCTTTTTCTATACTGGCGGGCCGCATTGCGCCATCATTTGCATCCTATTTGCTCATATTATTTATCAGCTGACATGTGCCATTCAAGATCCATGGCTGTAAGGGTGGTAGTCGAAGCGAAAAATGAAACTGTGTGCTAGTTGGCTCAGAAGAGAAACGCGAAGTAAACCACCGAAGACGCCAAATAAGATGCATCTTTCCTGCTGGAACTTTAGCCGACAAAGTTTGCTACCAACATTAGGTTGCCTAGGGTTATACAAAACCGTATATGGAAGCTCCTTTTTTTGGTTTCAGTTTTGGTTTCAGTTTTGGAACCGTAAAATACTGGGAGGAATTGCTAACGATAACTGATCAGTTTTAGGTCCTTCAAGGCATCAACTAGAGCTAAATATTTATTTGTCTGATCAGATAACACCGAGCTTCTTTCCGACTTCTTCGAAGGCGCTGACGGCAGTATCAATATGTTCGGTAGTATGTGCTGCGGAGATCTGAAAAAGCTGCTGAAGTGGAAAGTATATGTGAAGACGGAAAGGCAGTAATGATCGGAACAAGAGACCATCCAGCGTTCCCATCACCGGGTCCCTCGCAAAAAATGATAGGCGAGGCATAAGCTAGACCCACATTTTCGCTAATTTTTACATTCTAGCTGCTCAGGCAGCTCGTACCCAGGAGAAGACGTAATCGGCGTACTGGTCAAGTACTATCCAGCTAAATTTTTGGTCGGATCTGCTAGTTGGCCCTGGGCATATACTGCTATCAAAACAACAGCAGCATGGGATCGCCTTAAAGCAACAGTCCCAGCAGGGTGGGCGTGGTCGGAAACGACTGCAATCCCCTCGGCCGATTCCCACTTCGGAGCTGTTCAGCCCCTAGTCAAGAACGTAGGAAGTGTGACTGAACAAAAACTCACCTTGGAAAGCCGCTAGGGAGGGAGCTGAAGTGGGCGTGGTCGGAAATCGGCCGAGGGATGTACTCGTTCTCCGACCACGCCCCTGCTGGGACTGTTGCTTTAAGTCTACAATGGGCGAAACGGATACTCGGTTTGGAGCAGTTCAACGCGAATCTTAACGAGTGGTATTTTTCTTATTTTTATTTCGGATTTTTTCATGCGGTCTTTGGAAGCTGGGAAAGAGTGGAGAACAACGTTTGAAAGGAAACAGAGAATGCTGCTCATGAGTTCCATCGAAAAAGTAGGAAAAGCCCACCTGAACCCTGATGCGAGCTTTTCCAGTAGGTACTACTGGGTAACTGAAACCGATGACGTATATTCCTTTCTTCAACAGAGCGTCAGCCATCTCAGAAGCCAATCTGAACAAAGTCAACCAAATGAAGTCCACAATTCTCCATTTATACCAAATTACTGAAAAAGCAGAGGTGGACCTGCTGTTTAAAGAGGTTCGATGCGGCAGCAATTGGCAGGGCATGTCACGTACGTCGTCAGACGTCAAATTACGAATCCATAAGCTTGTTCAGGCCAACTAAGAGTTCCACCTTTCCGTGGTCACTCACTTGCCACTTGACCCGCACAGGATGATAAAGCCTCAGGAATGAGCTCTGCAGCCGTATTTGCCCCTCCCATAGCAGAAGCTCCCCCTTCGTGAGTACTTTCTGTTTTTTGAATTACCAGATTAGTCCCCCGTCAACCGCCGGGACCTTCCTTTCCTGCGCAAGCTTTCTATCCTCCGCTATGGTCCCTTCCTCCTGTGACACCAACACCTGGAAGTGACGCGTATGCAACACAATGGTGTTTCATACAGTAGAAGGGACACAATCATGATATGACGGTAGATTTTTCGCTTCCCTTCCTCATCCTCCCTTCCTCTCTCCACTGCCCTCCAGCTGCCACTGCAGCACCATGTGGAATGAACGGAAGTGTGCTAAGCAGGTGTTTATATAGCCCTAAGAGTGTTATCACAACTATCCTGCTACAAAACATTGATATCTCAAATCCTGTAAGCTACCCGATTTGTTAGCGGTTTGTTTATCCCATGAGCTTCCTTCTCACTCACTTCATTTTGCGGACGGACACACATACATACACACACACACACACACACACACATACAGATACACAAACCGACACACAAAGTTAGCGCTTTATATAATAGAAGGATTTTCAACAACAACTTCAACAGGCGCCCTTCGAATTGCGTGAGACAGCCATCCACTCAAACACTCCGATTTTTTAGGAGGCCTGGCGTATTCCAAAAAAAAAAACTCGTGAACGCTGTAGGCTTCAGACTTTGTGCTCTTTTATATAGTAAAGAACAAGCATGGTGTAGTAGGAAAATCATTTGCAAAATCATACCTGGCATCCCCTAATAGAACTGGGCAGATCGGATGTGTGACGTCATTACCAAGAACCTTGAAGCCGAGTTTCTGTCATTTTGGATCTGAATTATTACAATTTAAGTACCACTTCAACTTTCAAATATTACATCTGCAAAAATAAGCCCCCATGCGAAGAAGCTCACCTGAAGCGCTGAACGTTGGCCTTCAATGATCCGATAAAGGAAGCTGTCGTTCATTAAAAGGTCAAGGTACCTGAATAGATTTTCTGTTAATTTTTTAAGATTATAAAAAGGAAAAAGTCCGAGTTTGTTACTTTGATGCTGGATCCAACGATGCTTGGAGCTAGAGAGTTTGAGAACAAATACGGTCTGGATCTCTGTCTGAGAAGTTCTATCAGTGGCTTAGGACCTGCAAACATGACGGATTTTTGTATAAGAAATTCCATGAAATACCAGAGAACGGATATTTGAAATCATTATCAAATTACCAGCGGTGTATCCTCCCATTGAGCCGCCAAGAGCTTTGCCTAACGTTGAGTTGATGATGTCGACGACGCTTTGATTCCTGAAAAGCAGGCGTTTTCAAAAAGCAACTAGTCGCGCAATTTCCATATCAATCCATTAAAACTATGAAACGGCGAAAATTAATTAAAAATTGCAAACAAAAGTTGATAATAGGATTCATTGCGACGCTCAGGATCTTCTGGCTTCTTCCTGTGGGGGCGAAAATCCGCTGCGTGCATTCATCATGAACACAATGGCGTTGTACTGAAATCAGCGACGTTCAAATGAGTGAGCCGCTTACATCAATGTGGATTAGCTTTTGGAAGAGGAGGGGATCTGGGGAAGGATCTGCGTAATTTCTGTTCACCCTGGCGTTTTTTCCTTTTCCTGGGCTTAGCCCTAGTCCCACCTACAAGCGGTTCTCAAGCGGCCTTGTTTTGAAGGTCCCCCCAAGGACATGAGCGCCATCCCCCGTCTCATCCTCCTTTTCCTGTGATTAGCGGTCCACCTTGCAACGAAGTTCTCAAACTATTGAGCACCTCAGGTGGCAGCGTCGAACGTGCCCTCGACGAGAAAGCGCTAGCAAGTTACAAGATGATGTTCATCCTTTTTCATCAATGGCCAAATAAGTCACCAGCTCATCACGATTCAGCAGGAGATTCTCTATTGTAAGCTAGCGTGTCTAAAGAAGGAGCTCTTAGTTGCTTTACCCTTGTGGTAATCAATCACTGCGTTTTATCCCAATGACATTAAGGAGCACGGGTAACACAGATATCGTCGCTTCTGTGCATAAAAAAAGTATTAGCAGGAAAAAGACATCAGAAGAGCCCCGGGCACAAATTGAGTAGCAAGTACATGGTAGTAGGTACAGCCATCACCCTGTGATTGGTAAAGAAAATTAGTCGAATTTCTTGCGTACCAAAATTCGCAGGCTCTTCATCGTTCTGCCCCTCCGCCACGTCCTGAAACATTTCAGCGAGTCCCGGGCAGCAGCTGAATTCTGCCCACGGGTCAAACATGTGACTTAATCGTTATGAAAGACACCTCGTGTGCTCTACACAGCATGAATCGAATGAAAAGTTGCAAATAAACGAGCCTCAACGGTATCCGATCTTAACAAATCTAAATTTACGAAGTTACGCCTCTAGCCACTGCGCCAACTCTTCGACGAAATGTATTCCGGAAAGTGTGGGCAATAAGTAGTGATCGCATCACTACCTCTTTCAAGCACGGTTTGTTAATAGATCCCCTCCACCAAGTTTTTTTTTATCTCATCGAGGTTTTTGTTCCGTGTTGTTGGCCACTTCGATTATTGTAAAC